ACATGTCCAGTTCACCCTACCTAATCCCACGTCTGCGGCCCGCAGACCTGTCCATCGAGGGCAGCTAATCAGTGTTAGATTCATGTCCAACGAAAGTACAAGTGATATCGCGATTCAGCGGTACTTCTCGCTGATTGTCCACAAGTTTTTTCCCTCGGTCACTACTCTACGTGATATGCAACCCACCGTCCTGTCCATACTAGTACTAGGGTTTCGACATTTTAGTACTCTCTCGGACTCCAGCACGCCCTCTCACTCCGAGCTTCCCTCAACTTGGCATAACATTTCTTTCGCTTCAAGATACTCGGGCCAAGCGGTCGACTCGCCAGCGCCATCACCGGCATGTGAATTCTGGAACATCGGAGTGTCGACGTTTGCCCCACATCCAAACGAATCAACCCTTCGTCCGCATGTGCTTCAGAAGCGCCCGAAGGCTTTCACAGCGGAAACAGTTTTATTCTTAGATATCTTTCGAATTTGGGACACGAACTTTGTAACCTGGTTGGCAGAAGGAGTATAGAATGACACACACTTTTATTGAAAGGTAGGCTTGATTGTCAGCGATCATACTCGCCATTGGTGACATAATGTGCGGCTGCGGCCCCCAAAAAAGGTCTGGCGCGTCGGAGCCAAAATCCCGGCGCCGTACGGTCTGAGCTCAGTTCAACAAAAATCACCAGTCGCCATGTGATGCCGGAAAGCCCTGTTGGAATTGACTTATCGACCCATATCCGGCGAGGTCACAGCAGAAGGCAACGGCATAAGGGCGCGTGGTGTCGTCCCACGGTGAGGTCCGATGGATGGTCGTACTGATCAAACAGGTGAGTTAGTTTGTTCAGCATTTACTTTGTCCTCCACTCGCGACCTTATCACAGATTGATTCACGCTACTAGACCATTCAGTCTCGAATCTCGAATCGCATCAACAACTACTGCCCGGTTTCAGCTTGACAAGCCATTCTCCTACTGGTATCGAGCTTCCCACAGGAACTCATCGACACAATTATGCCGTAGCGGTTCCGCTCAAAGTTTCCTTCGTTCGCGTGCTACTCTTGTCTGCAACCGTCTCTGCTGTCTTCTCATCTCATTCCGAACCACTTGCGCGTGAACCGCGGTAGAACCCACCCTCTTCACGACATTCAAAACCCATGCTGACCCACTGGCGGTTCCCCAGGCCCTGTCATCCACTCTTGGCGTTTTTTCACTGCTGCAGCACCTCTGTTTAAATGGTATGTCATCGAGACACGGCATCCTCCTCGGCTTAAAAACAGAATTCCGCGCGCGCGCCTAGATACCCACTTCGGCACCGTTACAAGGGGATAGAGGGGGCACAAGCATACCATGGCCCAAGCAACATCCGCGGTCGAAATTTAGCAGCTCCTATTTCAACCACAATCGCACTCTCTTGGCATTTGAAGTTGAATGTCGACCTATACCCTCCAATCACATACTTCTTGGTATACAATGTCCTAGATTCCATTAAAAGCAACAAACAGCTATGTACTGAAACCGGAGGATCGAATTACTTCCGGGCGGGCAAGAACGCATTGGGGCTGAACGCAGGTACAACTCCGCTCTGCACCTTGAACGGCTTCGCTTTGACCAGCGTTCCAGACCCTGCGTACGAGTCCAGTGCGGGCGGGGCCTTGAAGGGCTGGCACTCAGTGTTGAAGACCCCTGCAAAGGAAGAATGAGAATAAGCCAGGTGAACGATGCATGGGGGCTTACACTCGTCTAAGCTAATGTGGGCCGGGTCGTCGAAGGTGAGGTAGCTGCGAAATACAATCAACAAGAGCTGAGGGACGCGAAGCATATGAAATGGACGCACAGGTACTTCAGGACCTCTGCGAACCAGAACGATTCCTCGTCATCGATCAGGCCGCCATTGACGCTGTTCACATTGTTCAATCCGGCAAAGGCCACGGTCGCCGGCAGGAATTTGTTGAACGAGTCGATCGCGCTGGCTGCGCGGTCCAAATACTTAGTGTCACCGGTCACTCTGGGAGGCTGTGAGCGGAGTATAAGTGATAATGAGAACCAGTTCGCGCACCGCCATGCGTGGCTGAGAGGAGCAGTACAAGATGAGAAAAAAAAAAGAATGGAACAGGTTATGAAACACTTGCAAGTTGGATTCCAGGACTGTGAACACGGTTTCGTTAGACGGACGAAGTAGAGGATGTGGCTGGATCTATACCCTCCGGACGCAGAATGTAGGCAGACGAAGTGATGTAGTAGCCGTGCTGGTTGTAGAAAGCTGTCTGTGCCGCCGACGGCGTGCTTCCACCCGTGAAGCTGCCATCTGAGCTGATGAACGCAAAGGCCTCTGGGCCAATGCCAGTGCTGAGAAATGATAGTCAGTTACCACAAAGAGACATAAGTTAATACATATACATACGCCGTGCTCGCATACGTGTTCTATCGTAGACTGCCAGTCAATACCAAAAAAGATAAGAGCCGCAAAACAATGTACCCAGCAACCTTCGTTGAGGTCCAGAGCGATGTCGATGATGGTCTGATTCTGCAGGAGCTTTCCGCCTGAGAAGAACGTTTTAGACTATGTTCGCAGAATAAACAACAGAAGCGCACGCACCAAGCAACCAGTTTCCAGCATAGAAGCACGCGAGATGCCTGCTCCAGTCAGACCGATCCTAGTACGAAGCAAAACACAACTCACGAGCCGACGTGACGGATGCGAGTGCCATCGAAATCAGCGAGGTACGTGTGGTTCCCCACGGTTGATGTCTGAGTGAAATAAATATCCACTGAGGACGAATTGTGAAGGTAAAGCCGACGAACCTTTAGCAAAGTCTTGATGGAGGAATCTACAGCGGTCTACGATACATAGAATTAGGTGCAGAATGCGAGACACCACTGAGGTGGGTACCTTCCAGGTGTCGATGAAAACGGGATCGTTGGTGTTGGTGAGACGTGCGTATTTGACGAGGTACTCGAAGTACGAGTCACTTCCGCCTCCCCAAGTCTGCCGTGCGTCAACGACGTGTTCGCCTAACCGCAAATCGAAAGACTCACAACATAGCTGCCGACGGCATTACCCGTAGTCGGGTCGATTCCCTGGGCAGCGAGACCTAGGTGAAAAGAGTATGAGAAATCATCTTAAATGCGAGGTAATCCGATGGAAACCAACCTGGTAAAGGAGACGCCTGCAGATCAAGGAGGAAGGATCATCGTTAATGACTGAGCCACCAAAGAAGCAAGGAAACGCCGTACGAGACTCGCAATGCGCTTGACAGAGCGGGAGGTCAGATTCCCGTAGGTCGCGTTATTGGTGTGTTTGCTCAAGGTGAACCATTCCAGGCTGAGCGTGCCGGCTTCAGCGATGTTGGACTGTGACATACAAGATCGTTGGTAAGGACAGCGCAAAATGAGGGAGGGGAGGACTCACCGTAGATCTCTGCGGAGTGTTGGTGCTGAAATCCATGAAGCCGTAGGGCTGCCGGCGAAATGAACATCTTCAATCATTTCCAGATAAGATAAAGACGCACGACGTCGTTGTTCTAGATTCAATAATCAGGAATGTGGAGATGGAAGATAAAGCAAGACTCACTCCGACCCAGGCAAAAGCCATCTTGTCGGCGACTTCCTGGAGGCAGGTGTTATTCTGCTGTCCAGTTTACGAACAACCACAACGCGTACCTGCGCCTTTGTGACGAGAACGGGGAACTTCCCATCGCTGAGCTCGTACGCCGAGAGCAAGCCACCGACGTATCGAATCGTCGTCTCGAACAACGAGACCGTGTCGGATGTTTGAGATTTGCTGAAGTCGATCTGGCTGGAGAAATTGACAGCCTCCTCGAAGATGTCCTACCAACAATTATCGAATCGCGATGGGGAATAGAGAAGGGAAAGAGTTACCTCCAGCCCCATAACGGCCTACACTCAGTTCAGGTGAGCGTTGAAGTCATGATTTAAAGCATTCTGTTATATGTACATACCATGGTAGGCTGTCAAACAAGGGTTCAACTCAGAATAATTCAAAAACAGCCGCAACAGGAACGCACCAACGCATCCACAATCGACGCTCCCCAGCCATCTATTAACGAATGCAAATTAACGACTCGACGAATTCGATGAAGTTGAGTGAACCTACTGCGCCCATCCGAGAAGCCCTTGCTCACCGGCGAGAGGTCATCATGTCCGAAAGCAAATTCCCTGGTGGTTTCAAAATCAGTACATTCCGGCGCGGCGCAGTCACCACCCACTTGTACGCGGCATAGCTCGTCGTGAACAGCTTCTCCGCGTCGTCACGGCGCGACGCATACTGCGCCGGGACAGCCAGACCAGGCAGCTGCACCGTGACGCCCGCCCACGAGGACGACGAGAGGCCCAGCAGCAGCAGGATACACGAGTCACGACGCATGGTAAGTGCAAATAGCGAATAGAGCTAGCTGCGCCTCGGAAGGGCCCTTATATACCTCCACGATATCCGCTTGGCGCCAGAGCTTCCGAAGTTAGACGCATGCACGGAATCTGATTTGCGCAGAGGGCCACGCGACGGTCGACTCGGGACGCTGATTGACGATCAGCATGAGTATCACGCTGAAGCGTCCCGCATGCATTGCGCTCGCGTCTCTTCTTCCCTGCGGATGTAAGGCGGGAGAGGAAGAATAGCCGGGCTGGGGAATGCATAACCCAGGTTGGAAGACCTCGGTTCGTTGGCCAGACTTTAGTCTGCCGGCGGGAGAGTTGTTCAAGTTGATGAGTCTAACTTCTTAAGAACGGATCGAGTCGATGACAACTTGAAGAAGCAACGATCATTATCATTGATGGCGCGGTTTGTCAGCTGTTCAAAAAACGGTTGAAAACTTATTGCACCCACTACCAGCCCAGCAACTCGTCGTCAGGAGGGGCTGAGGTTTGTTGCCGGGGAGTGAGTAGTGAGCACGCGTGCAACACCGCAAAAGAATGGGATGGGGGAGGTGGTGGTACTACCGGCATAGCCAGGCATGCCCGCATGCGACAAAAGGCAATATCTCCGTTTCATGGCCATCGTGGGGGTCGAACCCAAGACCTGTTGTGATGCCTCGCGTTATTAGCACGAGGCTCTAACCAACTGAGCTAGACGGCCAACAACACTGTGATTTTATGTTGTCCTCTTTCATCCCTTCCCTGTGACAAGTTCCAGAAGGTTGGTCTTTCAATATGCGATAGCCGAAACTCGTGAGCTCTACCGTTCACGAATTTCCTTTTGTCAAGGTGAAGATACAAGGTCGGAATCATGGAATGTACAAGACATTCAATGCCGTATGGGTAAAAGTTCCCCAAGGGCTGGCCACTTTGGACAAGTGAAGCTCCCAATTTGTCATTGTTGAGTTGATTCACCCGATCTTACCAGTCAAAATTCAAGATATTTAAAGTATGGTTGTCTTCCGAAAGTGTACATCCACATATGTTGGAATTGGGGGGTTCGACTGCCTGTGGTGTGATTAAATATGTTGATCCCTTTGTTTTTTCTGATTATCTTGTGATCATTTCGAACCGGCTCGAGGTCTTTCCAGCGTTTCTATGTACAAGTTGCCAAATACAGCCGGTCAAAGCGATAGTGATATACTTAAGGTTAGGGTTAGGAGGGCGAAAGATCGAAAAAATGGTCCACCCAGCCGAGTGGCCGTGGTGGAACAGGAAAATATTGAGACGGTGCATGCACCTAAGCACATACAAGCCGCAGGCGCACTCTGTATGGACAGGGTCGCCGTGCTATGGAGTGTTCCCACGGCCCACAGACCCAGGGATGTGAAGGGGCCTGTGCCATCAAGGTAAGTATGAGTTGCACAGATGAGGAGAGCGGGCTTTTATACCGCTGGCAAGCGCACGGACCAGCAGCGCGTACGTATTGTTTGCGCAGGCGTTTGATGGACATTCACGTGCCAGTTCACGCGTTTCGCGTTCTGACCAACCACCATGTTCGATTTTTCAATTTTCTCTTCAGCTCAAAGACGACTGACAGTCGGCGCGCTAACTTCGACGCTCTAACCAACTGAGCTAGATGGCCGATGGTATCCGATCTTTCCCCAAACATTAGACCGACAGAGTGATCTTACTTGGGCAACACTTGAGACTGAACTAGCAGGCCTCCGATAGCGAAAACCCAGGTCAATGTTTCCGGGAGATCATGTTGCCATGAGGGTCAAAGGCAAACACTTGTGACGTCTCTGCTCGAAAAGGAAACCACTTAAATTGCATTGGAAGCTTCACGAATCGAGATTATGTTCCACGAATCTGACTTCTACTTTGTACGGACGCGAGGTTTTGAAATGTAAAAATTGTTACAGCGCTGGGCTGATTTATCCAAAAAGTTGCATCCAAGATACTTCATGCGTCCGCCGGGAGTCGAACCCGGAGCTAGGCCATGGGAAGACCCAATGTTACCGCTACACCACGAAAGCATTGAGAAGTGCCTGATGCGGACCGATTAAGGGGCAGTGAGCACGGGTCTGAAAAGGAAATACAAAGGCGATCCTGAGGGAACGACGCCGCTGCGCATGGACTGAAATCAGAAAAAATCCAAGCCCAAGACCACAGAAAGAAACCACCCGTGCACCGAGTTCGACAGCAGAATGGCGGAGCAGTGGAATCAAAAAAAGAAAGATTGAAAAATTCCGAGTCGCCGGAAAGAGCAGAAAAACGGGCCAGAAGTGGAAGGCAGGAAGACGCGCAGAAAGGAACCTGAAGAAAAGAAGGGGAACACAGAAAGAACAGAGAGGAGACGGGGGAACGCAGAACGGCAGGGGGTCAGCGAGCCGAAGCAAAGATAAAAAGACGCGTAGGGCAGAAAATGGAAAGGCGCCAGCAGGCAGAAAGCGAGCAAAAGAGGAGAGAGCAAGTCCCGTGTACCCAAAGCCTGAAGGCCCGAAGCTTGAAGACGGGGGGAGGGCGTTGCGTCATGAGATTGCGATACGCGGTTGGCGAATGTAGCTGGGCACAGGCAGCTCAAAAGCACGCCGAAGCCCTCGATTAGTTCGAAGAGTATTGTACCGTACATCCCTGTCTAAGGATCCATGTCAAAAGTACAAATAAAGTAGAATAAAAACCATCTACGTGCCTCGGCACAATCAGTGTCTTGCGGTATTCTTTTAACGCCCCCCCCCCACTGCTATACTCAATAACCGCCTAACAGCACCACCTTACACAACCGCAACCGCGACCCCCACCCCAACGAGCGCCCCGCCGATCCCACCCGGCCCCCGACTCCTACTCCTACTCCTACCACTCCTGCTTCGACTCCGGCTCCCACTCCTATCACCGTCCCCATTCCCACTCCCGCCCGTACCACGCCTGCTTGGACCACTCATGGTCCGGGGCCGCCACCACCTATCGGCGGCGGGGGTCGCACCGGCGGCAGGATCGAGCGCGAGGAAGCTCGGCGGGGGCGGACTCGCGCTGTGGTCGTCGCTGAGCAGCGAGCTCGCGCGGCTGGGGAACGATATGACGGACGCCGAGGCCGATCCGGAGGACGAGTCGGGCGCGACGAGCCGCGTAAACGGCCCCACCTCCGCCGGCTCGCGCACGGGCGCGGGGTTGAAGAGCGCGTCGATGAGGGAGGCGGTGCCCGCGGGGCCGGAGGCGTGTGGGAGGAGGTGGACTGAGAATGAGGGTGTAGGTAGGTTTTTGAGGGCGGGATTTTGCGAATTCGGGGGTGTGGGGAGGGAGGAAGATGAAGACGCTGCGGAGCTGGGCGCAGAGAGGGGGAGGGGGAGCGGCGCGTACAGGTCTAGCGCGCCCGGGCGCGTGCGGTAGACCTCGTCCCGCGTTGAGAGAAGGCTGGCACTAGCCGTCGCGAGGATCTCGCCTTGCGGGAGGGGCGGGGCGATGTACGTTAACGACGGCGCAGAGGTGGAGGTGGAGAGCGGCGCGACGCGCACAGAGAGGCGCAGCGTCGCATTCGTTTTGCTCTCGAGGAGGAGGTAGCGGCGCGTTACGGTGCCTTTGCTGGGCACGCTCAAGTTCAGGTTACTCGCACCCGAACCTGCAGCAGCAACGTCCGACGAGTCCGCGTACTGGGCCAAATCAAGCTCGACGACGCCCAGGCGCGGGTTCTGCGGCGCGTCGGGGTCACCCGGGATCACGCGCTGCACGACTTTGAGCCGCAGCGGATGCGGGAGGAGGCGGTGCGTGGTGCGGTCGACGGACATTTGCACGACGGCGGAGAGTGGGTGGTCCCACGTCACAGCGTGGTCGCGCAGCGGCAGGAAGACAGTCTGCCCCGAGCGCTCGATGGTGTCGGCGGTGAACAGTGGCTCCTCCGCGCTGCCGAAACTGTCTGCGTCGCCGTCTGGGTCGCGTTCCGCAGGATCAGGGGCCCGTTCCTTCCCCTTCGGAGCCCGGTGCGTGTTCTTCCACTTCCACTTGACGCCGAATTCGCCCCGGACGAGGGGCACGCTTGCGAGCGTATGGATTTGGATGGAGACCTGGAACAGCGCGTGTCGGGGGACGAGCTGCCGCAGATGCGCTCTCAGACCGCCGGTGGACGGTCGAGGGGCAGGGGCGTCGTCGTCGGTTAGGCTGGACATCAAGGCATGTAGGAGGTAGAGGGGAAAGGGGCCAGAGGGGAGAATTTGCCGCTTTATGAATGTTGCACGCCGCTGACATTATGCGGGAAAGGGACGGGAAGGGGTTGCCCAATTTGGAAGGCCGCACAGATTGTTACACCGTCGACGTCGGCGCTGGCGGTCTCGTCTGACTTTTTCGTCAAGTCGGTGTTGTTGGAGATCTGTACCACGTCGCAGCTGTTCGGGATCCTCGGGGAATCCTCCTCTGGCTTCAGCTGCAGCTTGTCGGAGGTACTCCAAAGTCAGGCGCTCCACATTGACATCGACTCTTCGCGTTTCAAGCAAAGCGTTTCTGGACCACCGCACTAGGCGCTACTGGACGTTGCCTGACAGACATCTTGCTCGTTCATCACAGGCCCTTGACTTGCGCGCCTTTGTAACGGCTGTCCCTGACTCCCTATCGAAACCAAGTCGAAACGTTTGTGTAAGATATTTCAGGTCACACCGGTCGGACATCTTCGGCCCTCGGCTTTCCACGCTTGTCGTATACTTCAGCGTACCAATGATGGTGATTCGTAATGCTTTCGTGGTGTAGCGGTAACATTGGGTCTTCCCATGGCCTAGCTCCGGGTTCGACTCCCGGCGGACGCATTTGATGCCAGTGACGTATTTTGTTGCATTTGTGCCTTCTAGCCGCTCCTCTTTTTCTTCCCCTGCCCTCTTTCGCCGCGTCCGCGTAATTGGCGAAGACGATGCATCTGCTCCCCTCAACTCCCGGCTGATACATAGGTGATCCCGCTTGTGCCCGACAACTTTTTCTAACTTAATTTGAACGAGCGGTCACGCCTGATTATCGCCGGCATCATGACCTAATCTTCCCTCGTCCTTACCTCCATCATCCTCTTCCGTGGTCTGGACTCAAGACAATATGGCAAAAAATATACGGCAATGGGCAGAACGCGACATCCTGTTCGCGCCACGCGCACATTCGGTCCGCAGTCCGCGTGCGATGAAAAACCAGAGGCCCGAACATGTGTGTGATTCGTTGTTTAAATCACCCTCTTTATAAAATTATCCTCTTCTGTCCGTCTGAAGCCTTTTAAGACTCCGCTTCAATTCTGATCCAGCCGGCAACCTCTGTATGCAGCTTTATTCAAAACAAGTGGGAGCCGGCGACCGCTTGTAATAACGTTAACGTTAACTCTACAGCTGTAACAGCATTGCACAGGTATGAAAGCGTTATAAGCGCAAATGCCTGCGGCTTCGTCTGACCATGTCGGATAGCCACCTCTACACTCGTCTGCTCCTCCCAAAGCGCCACGGCTACCCTTTGTCTTGTCCAGCACCATATGGCGATGCACCTTTGGAGGCACGCCGGGCTGGGATACAGATAGGTGACGTTGGCGTCATAATGCCCGACGGGTCGTTCGACGTGATTTTCAGCATTTGTTGTGCATCGCATGACCCCATAAACCGGTTTGGACTCCCTAGAGGGTTCGAGCAGGTCCATCTCGGTTATGAAGACATTGCTTGTCGACCGGGGTACCACGACCCGGGCTCCCATGTATCCAATACAACC